GCCAGCACACCAGGTTCTAGTCCCGTTCGGGGCACTGGATTCTGTCCCGGTCGATCCTCTTCTAGTCCAGCTCTCTTCTGTGACCCGGGAAGGCAGTGGAGGATGGCCCAAGTGCTTGGATCCCTGCACCTGCATGGGAGACCAGGAGAAGCACCTGGCTCCTGGCTTCAGATCAGCGCAATGCACCGGCCGCAGTGGCCATTGGAGGGTGAACCAACAGTAAAAGAAGACCTTTCTCTCTGTCTCTCTCTCTCTCACTGTCCACTCTGCCTGTCAAAAAAAAAAAAAAAAAATCCAATAGTGTGAGGAGTCAGATGGGTTAGTAGATAGTCAGGGGACCCCAACGGAATTTGGGGTGTAAAATATTTGCTTCCTTCCCTAAAACTTTAGCAAGAACAAACAGGCCGCCCTCCTTCCTCCAAAATCTCCAAATTTATCATGAGAATAGCTAGGAAGCTCCTCCTCAGCTCACAGCTAATTGGGAAAACAAGTTATCTACCCCACCCTTAGCAGGCCAGACAGGACTGAGAATGGTTAATGAGGTCCTTTGATGGTTTTTGTCTCAGCCTGGTAACCGAATGCCAAATTGATTGCTTTTTTTTTCTTTGCAATTGTACTTAAAGCCAACTGCCACCAGGCCCCTTTGGGTCTTCCTCTCTTGGAACCCTCCTCATTGCTGCTCTGGTAGGCTTCCAACCTAAATAAATCCACTTTACTTTTGCCGTTGTGTCCGCCTGGTAATTCTTCTTTTGCCAGACAAGGAACCGAGGCCATCTCTTTGCCGCCTTTCCCTGTAACCATAGCAGTTATTGCATCTTTCAAAGGCTGATAGAAGGGCTTCAATTTTGGATTTTCCAGAGAATATTACCAAGTTAGCAAGATTTACTATTTTTTTTTTTTTAACAGGCAGAGTGGACAGTGAGAGAGAGAGACAGAGAGAAAGGTCTTCCTTTGCCGTTGGTTCACCCTCCAATGGCCACTGCGGCCAGCGCGCCACGGCCGCACACCGCGCTGATCCGAAGCCAGGAGCCAGGTGCTTCTCCTGGTCTCCTTGCAGGTGCAGGGCCCAAGCACTTGGGCCATCCTCCACTGTGCTCCTGGGCCACAGCAGAGAGCTGGACAGGAAGAGGGGCAACTGGGACTGGCTTATTTCACTGAGTATGATTTTTTTTTTTTTTTTTTTTGACAGGCAGAGTGGACAGTGAGAGAGAGAGAGACAGAGAGAAAGGTCTTCCTTTGCTGTTGGTTCACCCTTCAATGGCCGCCGCGGCTGGCGCACTGCGCTGATCCGAAGGCAGGAGCCAGGTACTTATCCTGGTCTCCCATGGGGTGCAGGGCCCAAGCACTTGGGCCATCCTCCACTGCACTCCTGGGCCACAGCAGAGAGCTGGCCTGGAAGAGGGGCAACCGGGACAGAATCCGGCGCCCCGACCGGGACTAGAACCCGGTGTGGAGGATTAGCCTAGTGAGCCGTGGCGCTGGCCGCAAGATTTACTATTAACAAGTGTTTGCTTGTCGACAGAGCAGGTTGCTTGTGAGAACTTGCAGAATAAATTGATGTGTCTTCTGAGTGCAAGTATGTTTTCTGGGTTTCCTGCTGAAGAGATCTTCCTCTGATTTGATTCAAGGGAAATGTCAAAATAGGTGTGCCTGCTAGGAAAGCTAAGTTGCAGATGGAAAATATTTTGTTAACTTGGAAATTATTTTGTTAACTTGAAAACCAATTAAATTCCCTGATTATCACATTTCTAGCTCCAAACTTTAAGAAAAAAATTTTTCTCTAGTGAATATGCATATTAGAAACTAGAAATTTATAACTGAGCACAGCAATCTTAGATTCCCTGAACATATTGCATTTTCTTAATGCAGTATACAAAATTTCAGGCAGTGAAACAGTTTAATGAAATGCTATCACCATCCAGAAAAAAAATCTCTTTAAGGCCAAGAATTTTTTTTAAATATTTATTTATTTACTTGAAAGTCAGGGTTACATAGAGAAAAGGAGAGGCAGAGAGAGTGGTCTTCTATCTGCTGGTTCACTCCTCAATTGGCCTCAATGGCTGGAGCTGCCGGCTCTCCCACATGGATGCTGGGGCTCAAGGACTTGGGCCATCTTCTACTGCTTTCCCAGGCCATAGCAGAAAGCTGGATCGGAAGTGGAGCAGCCGGGACCTGAACCAGTGCCCATATGGGATGCTGGCACTGCAGGCTGTGGCTTTAACCCGCTAGGCCATAGCGTTGACCTAGGCCAAGAATTAAATAGGCAAAATCTGTTCCTATCCAAAGAAGGATTAATAATTTGGCAGTAGTATTTGTTAGCTGTCACAAAGCACACCAAACACCAGAGTAAGGAAAGGGTTTATCGAGGAAAACCCAGCAGACTGGAGGGGAGGGACGAAGAAGGATAAGAGAGAAAGAGTATGAGAGAGAGAGACAGAGGAGAGGAGCTAGTGAGGAGAGAAGATAGAGCAGAGAGAAGAGAGACGAGAGGAGGAGAGGAAAGTAGAGGAGAGGAGCCAAGAGAGCAGGAGAGAAGAGCCAAGAGAGCCACGTGTTCAGGAACAGGTCCTTTTAAAACTTTGCCCAAGGGCGGGCAGGGAAGCAGGAGCAGCGAATTGAATTAGGATGGGGGTGGAGCTTGACAACAGGGGTTGGGCCGTGTGGCCACCTGGCTTCCAGCAATGGCGGCGGGGGTGGGGCATAGGATGTAAATCAAGCTATAGATCACGCCATAGATAAAACTGCTCCAGTTTCCTAACAGTGTTACTATATTTTACAGGTAGAACCTGCTGCTTCACAGCGCTCTTGTGAAAAATGCCTTATGCAAATTTCTATTAACAGCATCTAACAGTTGACAAGGCTGAGAAATTACTGTTCTGGTCTTATAGAATCAGTTTTAAAAGTTGTACCTGCTACATTTTTAATAATAAAATTATTAAGTAATTTAAATTTTTTCTTGTATCTTAGAAGAACGATACATCATTCTGTTATGGTGATTTTTTTTGTTTTTCTTTTTTTATTTGAGAGGTAGAGTTACAGTGAGAGGGAGAGACAGGCAGAAAGGTCTTCCTTCCACTGGGTCACTCCCGAAATGGCCGCAATGGCCACTGCTGCGTCGATCCAAAGCCAGGAGCCAGGAGCTTCTTCCCGGTCTCCCATGCAGGTGCAGGGGCCCAAGGACTTGAGCCATCCTCTACTGTTTTCCCAGGCCATAGCAGAGAGCTGGATTGGAAGAGGAGCAGCCAGGACTAGAACCTGCACCCATATGGGATGCCGGCACCGGCAACAAAGGCAGAGGATTAACCTATTGTGCCACAGTGCCGGCTCCTATGGTGATATTTTGAATCACAGAATGGCAATTTTAGCTTTCAATCACCATGTGGCCAAAATATATGTTCCAATAGACCTCATATGCCATACTGCATGTGTAGCTACTGCTAGTAAAAGAGTTGCAGATTGGTGCCTCCTCACAAGGGGCACCAAAATGTTAGGAAAAGAGGCGCAGAATAGAGAGGAGGCAGTGTATGAATTTATAGCCAGACTGAATTTATCCAGAGAAAATAAATCCATAGAGGTGGATGACCAACTGTCCCCATGCACCATAATGGAACGGGGGCCAGCGCTGTGGCACAGCGGGTTAAAGCCCTGGCCTGAAGTGCTGGCATCCCGTATGAGTGCCGGTTCGAGTCCCGGAAGAAGCTCTTGACTCCTGGCTTCGGATTGGCTCAGCTCCAGCTGTTGTGGCCATCTGGGGAGTGAACCAGCGGATGGAAGACCTCTCTCTCTCTCTCTCTGTCTCTACCTCTCTTTGCAACTCTGTCTTTCAAAAAAAAAAAAAAAGGACGTTGAACACAGGATAGAAGGCCCTGACCCCCAGTGGCAGGTCCTTTTTATTTTTCAGGAGGGCTAGGGATGGGGGTAGGGGTAAGGGGCAGCAGGCAGAGGTGAATTCCTGAAACTGGAGCAACTGGTCTTTCAGGTGGCCTTGTGGGGTGGGGTATGAAGACAATAGTGTATGAGACCCAACTGAGATTCTAGGACAAGGAATACATTCCAGGGTTTATCTCATTTGGGCAATGAGGGGAATGGCTAAGGCTTCTTTGTTCCATCAGCTACAGTCTACAAGTAACTTATTTGCTCAAGAGCAGGTGCCCCAACAGGATTTGTGACTTGTAGACATTTTTACTGTTACTGGCATTGACTCGATCCGTTTATTGAAATACAAGTTTGAGGAGATTTTGATTGTAAGCTTAAAATAAAGACTGTAGTGGAAAAGCAGGTTTGCATGGTTATAACACTCACTCTGTTGACCTGAAAAACACAGCCTCTGCAGATAACACTCAGTTCTTCCAAGTCGCCTGTCTTGCAGCGCAGCCCCAGCAAAGCATAACCTGGGGCTTTATCTCTGCTGATCTCAAGAATTCATTTCCAGGCTTGGCCCTGGACAAGCAATCTAAGGGAGACCATAGATTAATATGAGTGTGTTCCAGAAGTTTAAAGAAAAGTTTATTTTGGTGCAAACTAATTTTGGAATCCGTGCAGTTCTCATAATACTCATTTTCCATCGATTTTTTTTTTTGAAGACCCCTTCCTCTTCGCACTTGCTTCCCCTCCAAGCAAGCGGGGACGCGCTTCCCCTAGGCAGCCACATTTGTAATTTCTGCAAATGACACAGTCTTCTTAGGTACCCAGGATTAGCTTTGCACCTGACTCTCGCACCGGGCCCTTTCCCGCCTTTCTAAATCGGGCTGCCTTCCCGCAGAAGCGCTTCCTCTCAGGCGCTGCCGGCCAGCCGGACCTCCAGGAAAGAAAACGCTTCCCGGAATGAGCTCAGATTTGCGGCTGGGCCTCCAAGTGCCATCTCGGGGTAGCAGAAAGAGAACTCCCTTGGGGTGTCTGCCACGACCCCGGCGCGCAGGAGCCGACCGGCGGGCGGGGCGGCGGTGCCCGCGGGGGCCGGCAGGGGGCGCGCTGGCCGCGGCGCGCGGGCGGCGGGAGCTGCGGCGCGTCTAGGCCGGTGCCGCTCGCGCTGCGCTAGCTCCCCACAAAGCGCCAGCTGAGGGGTCGCTGCGGACAGAGTGCGGCGGAGCCTGCCTGGAGCCCTTAGTCCCGGACGCCGCGTCGTCGGCTCGCCCGCGCTGTGTCGCCTCCCCGCGCGCGCCGAGGCCGGGCCGCCGCGCACGACCGTGCCGGGCCGGAGCCGCCGGCTGAGCGAGGACCAAGCGGCCGGGCCTGCGTGGGGCCGCGCGCGGCGGCGGCGGCGACTGCCCAGCCCCGCCAGACGGCGCAGAGCCATGGCCGAGGCGGCCCCGGCTCCGGTAAGGGTGGCGCACGCGAGACCTGCGAGCCGGGAGGGTCTCTGGGACCCAGGCCCCGCGGGAGGAAGGAGGGCGGGAAGGCCCGCCGGCAGCGGCCGCGCACGGGCGCCTTCCCCCGGGCCCCGCCGGCCACGTCGCCTGTGGCCCTGGGCTTTCCGGCCGCCGAGGGCCGGGAGCGGCCGGCGTGAGGCCGCGCGTCGCGGGGCTCCAGAATTGAGCGCAGGTCTGAGCGCACGCGTCCCCGCCGCGCTCCAGGTGTGAGGCCCGGGGAGCCCCCCGGGGCAGGTTTCCAGCCGAGCGGGGCCGCCCGCTTTGTGTCAGCTGCCAGAAACGGGGAAGTGAGGTTGGGGTGGTTTTGTGATCCGTCAGCCATTCTCAGTGCTGCCACCACGTCCTGCTCGGGCCGGCTACCAGGCGCGGTGTGCTGCGGTGTCCCCGCGCCGGACTGCGTGGCGCCCGGAGGCTCGCCGCCGCGCTGCACCGCCGAGGCCCTGCGGAAACCCTTGCCGGCGCGATGACCGGTGCAGTCCGAGCTGGGCTTGGCCTTGCGTGTGTTTGCCGAAGGCCTGCGTGGGCCCAGCCGTCTTATCAGTTGCCAGAGCCGCAGAGACCGCGAGACAGGGCTTGCACACAGCCGTTTACGAAGGGGAGGAACAGGACTGGGAAGCGTTCCTGGGTCTGCCACCTGAGAGGACTCAGGCAGCCTCCAGGAGGGCCATTTTAGTGGGTCAGGAGCCGGAGGGGCCCGCTGAGGAGCGAGCAGCAGCGATGGAGGGGGAATAGGGTGCAGGGAACTGCTGACTCCACTCTGGGACCTGTTTCTGCTTTTCCAGTCTTTATTACTATTATTATTATTAGAAGATATTAGGGTCGGCTTTGTATCTGCGCCGGTCCTGTTCAATAGAAGTTTAATGAAAGCCATACATGCATTTAGATTTTCTAGTAGTCAGGTATAAAAACTAAAAAGAAGTAGATGACAGTAATTTTAATGGTGTCTACTGTGTTTAACTCAATATATTAACATATTTCAACGTGCGATCGATATTATTATTATAAAATTATTCATGAGATTTTACATTTTTTCCATACCAAGTCTTCAAAATCTGGTGTGAATTTTATACTCGGATCATCTTAGTTGAACTGAGTACATTTCAAATGCTCAGTGGCCACATGCAGCTAGTGGCTTACCCTGCCGGACAGTGCAAGTCTATTTGACAAGAAGTATCAGGGAAGATTGACATATTGGTGATAAAAGAGAAAGGAACAATGTACCTAAAAAAGTGAAAGGGATTGGCCTGAGTATAAGTGGAGAGATGAGCTTTATTATTATTATTATTATTATTATTATTATTATTATTTTGACAGGCAGAGTGGACAGTGAGAGAGAGGGAGAGAAAGGTCTTCTTTTGCCGTTGGTTCACCCTCCAATGGCTGCCGCGGCCGGCGTGCTGCTGCCGGCGCACCGCGCTGATCCAAAGCCAGGAGCCAGGTGCTTCTCCTGGTCTCCCATGGGGTGCAGGGCCCAAGGACTTGGGCCATCCTCCACTGCACTCCCTGGCCACAGCAGAGAGCTGGCGTGGAAGAGGGGCAACTGGGACAGAATCTGGGGCCCCAACCGGGACTAGAACCCAGTGTACCGGCGCCACGAGGCGGAGGATTAGCCTAGTGAGCCGTGGGGTTGGCCGAGAGAGATGAGCTTTAAGTAACGGAATTTTTCCCATGGAAAAGAAAGCAATCACATATTAAGTTACTGATAACTCTAAAGTAGGAAGAAGTATACAGGAAGAAAAAGAGTTTAGGTCTAATTTTTTTCTTTAAGTAGAAGGTTGTGTCTTTCCTGAGAGTGAGGGGCTATGGTGGACAAGTCTTTTTAAATTATTTGTGTATTTTTATTTATTTGAAAGGCAGAGAAAGATCTTCCATGTGCTGCTTCCTTACCCATAAATGCCTGCAGAGGCTGGGACTGGGCCAGGTTAAAGCCAGGAACCCAGAACTCAACCCAGGTTTCCCATGCGGGTGGCAGGTACCTAATTGAGCCTTCGCTGGCTGCCTCCCAGGGTTCATGTTAGTGAGAAGCTGGAATTGGAAGTAGAGATGGAACTCAAATCATGACATCGGATGTGGGTATCCCAAATGGTGTCCATGCCACTGTTCCAAACACCTGCCCTGGACAAGTCGTACTACTAGTGTGTGTTTCCTCTATCAGCAATGTCAGCTCCAACTGTGAGCTTGTTAATAATGCAATATCAGTTTTCCTCCCAGAACTATTGAGTCAAAATTTGTATTTTAACAAGATCTCCAAATGATTCTTGTGCCTGTTAGTTTGGGACTAACTACTGTAAGTTGAAGGAGTAGCCACGGCTTGTGGTAACCGCTTTATGGAATAGAAAAAGAAGTCAGGAGGGCATCAGGCCATGTAGAGTTCCTTTTTTTTTTTTGACAGGAAGAGTGGACAGTGAGAGAGAGAGAGAGGTCTTCCTTTTGCCGTTGGTTCACCCTCCAATGGCCGCCGCGGCCAGCGCGCTGCAGTAGGCGCACTGCGCTGATCCGATGGCAGGAGCCAGGTGCTTTTCCTGGTCTCCCACGGGGTGCAGGGCCCAAGCACTTGGGCCATCCTCCACTGCACTCCCTGGCCACAGCAGAGAGCTGGCCTGGAAGAGGGGCAACCGGGACAGAATCCGGCGCCTCGACCAGGACTAGAACCCGGTGTGCCGGCGCTGCAAGGTGGAGGATTAGCCTAGTGAGCCACGGCGCTGGCCAGTGTAGAGTTCCATAATAAGCTAGAGGCCTTGTTGGTGTATGATGACAGTTTACCAAGTTAAGTGATTTCCTTTTAGTAGGGCTCACTGGCCTGCTTACAGGAACAGAGTGAGAATAATTTTATTTATTTATTTATTTATTTATTTTTTGGCAGACAGAGTGGACAGTGAGAGAGAGAGACAGAGAGAAAGGTCTTCCTTTGCCGTTGGTTCACCCTCCAATGGCCGCCGCGGCCGGCGCCACCGCGATGATCCCATGGCAGGAGCCAGGAGCCAGGTGCTTTTCCTGGTCTCCCATGGGGTGCAGGGCCCAAGCACCTGGGCCATCCTCCACTGCACTCCCTGGCCACAGCAGAGAGCTGGCCTGGAAGAGGGGCAACCGGGACAGAATCCGGCGCCCCGACCGGGACTAGAACCCGGTGTACCGGCGCCGCTAGGCGGAGGATTAGCCTAGTGAGCCGCGGCGCCGGCCAAGAGTGAGAATAATTTAAGGCTGAATGGAAGTTAGCTGAGCAAGTGAGGCAGAAAGACATGAACGGAGAGGGTTTGGGAGTAGCTGAAATGATCAACCAGAAAAGAAAGCAAAACTAGGATCAGGCAGATAAGCTAGGGGCAGATAGAGTAAAGCAGAAATTGCAGGCCAGGTGAAATGAGAATAAGGTAGTGGGTCAAAGATGGGAGGTTGTAGCCAGAGAGTAACTTATCAAGTTCACAGACAGCTTTATAGAAGTCATCCTAGTGCTGCCTCCTCCTTCTAGGCATCTCAGGCATCTCTCTCTTTTTTTTTTTGTTTTTTTTTGTTTTTTGTTTTCTACCAGTCTTTGTTTCAAAGTATATGCAGGAGCTGGCACTGTAGCGTGGTTTGTAGGTAAAACCACCGCCTGCAGTTCCAACATCTCTTGTGAGTCCCAGCTGTTCCACTTCTGATCCAGCTCCCTGCTATGGCCTGGGAAAGCAGTGGAAGATGGCCCAAGTGCTTGGGCCTCTGCACCCATGAGGGAGCCCTGGAGAAAGCTCCTGGCTTTGGACTGGCCCAGCTCCAGCCGCTGTGGCCATTTGGGGAGTGAACCAGCAGATAAAGACCTCTCTCTCTCTCTGCCTCTGCTTCTCTGTAACTCTGCCTTTCAAACAAATAAATAAATCTTAAAAAAAAAAAAAATTCAGTGGTGATGTCATGCAATTTCTTGGAAAGATCTAGTTCAAAAGTTATATTATGGGCCAAAAATTGAAAATTTCTGTTTGTTGGTTCTCATTCTGCCCATCCTTTGGAATAACACATTCTAAGATTACACAAGCCTGTTCTCCCTTCCGTTCTATAACCCTCAAATATTTGAAAACATCTGTCATATTTCCTCCAGACTCAACTTATTCAGCTGTTACTGAATGACATGGCTGTGGTTTGAAACAGCATGGTGGACAAGGCCAGTCCATGTCTGTGAGGGATTTGTCACGGGGCGTTGAATTCAGTAAAACCTGGAAAGGGCCTTGTGTACTTTTGCCTTTTTCAGAGAGAGAGCATGTGGCAGCAGCCTGAGCCTCTGGGCCCTATATCAGGGGAAAGACGCCAATCTAGTTTTTTGGTGTTTTTTTTTTTTTTTTTTAAGATTTATTTTATTTATTTGAAAGGCAGAGAGAGTTAAAGAAAGTGAGGGAGAGACCAAGAGAGAAATCTTCCATTTCCTGGTTCACTCGCCAAATAGCTGCAATGGCCAGGGCTGGGCCAGGCCAAAGCCGAGAGCCCAAGCACTTGGGCCATCTTTCTCTGCTTTTTCAAGTCCATTAGGAGGGAGCTGGATCAGAAGCAGAACAGTGGGATTCGAACCTGCCCTCTGATATGGGTAGCTGGCATCATAACCACAACACTGGCTCGTCAGACTGATTCTTAAAAAGCCAGTTTTATTCATTCACTATCTTACCAAACCCGTCCTCTGAGTTATCAAAGTAGTACTTCTATATTTAGATTAACTTCAGCTGGACAGTTAAGCAGTCCTTATTTGATTTTAGTTTGGAGTTAGCATTCCTTTTAACACCCAATGTCTTGTCCTGTTTCTCTACTGCACAGACTTCTGAATGGGACTCCGAGTGCCTTACATCCCTGCAGCCCCTTCCTCTACCCACACCCCCAGCGGCAAATGAGGCGCACTTGCAGACAGCAGCCATCTCCCTGTGGACAGTGGTGGCTGCTGTTCAGGCTATAGAACGGAAGGTGGACGTGCACAGCCGGCGACTCCTACACCTAGAAGGCCGGACAGGAACAGCAGAGAAGAAGCTAGCCAGCTGTGAGAAGACAGTGACGGAGCTTGGCAGCCAGCTGGAGGGCAAGTGGGCCGTGCTGGGCACCCTGCTGCAGGAGTACGGGCTGCTGCAGCGGCGCCTGGAGAACTTGGAGAACCTGCTGCGCAACAGGAACTTCTGGATCCTGCGGCTGCCCCCGGGCGTTAAAGGAGATATCCCCAAGGTAATACCTTCATTCTGTGTGTGAAATGGTACCATTAGACCTTACACCAGTAGCAAGAGGTAGCCTTGGCCAGTTAGTTAGATCTTTTTAATTCCTTTTAAAATTTCCTACAGTGTCTTAGGCTGATGGTGTTTCATGTTTATCTATTTGGGAAGAATTCTCTTTTCACTTTAGTGCTCATTTAGAGGGTCAAGCTTCATATTGGAAAATTCATTCCAAACCCATATTGGCTATTTGGTAGTTGGATTTTTTTTCTTTTGCTTATTTTGACCTGTTATCCATGAGTCACTTTTAATTATTAAATGTCTGCTGGAAATTTGGTGAGGAGACTAAATTCTCATTTAAATCAGTGAATTTGAATTTGTTCATTTTGGTGAAAAAGAGGGAGGGCAAAATAAGGAATGTGTAATCAGGTTTGTATGATGTATAATCAGGAATGTATAATGAGGTTTGAGATTGTCCAGAGGTCTAGGACTTATGTGGAACCTGTACTTAGCATCTTTTGTGTGAGTGTGCTGGGTTGTAGGGCCCTATTCTGGATGAAATAGGCCATAATCAAAAGGAAATAGACATTATTCTAAAGCTGTAGAAGACGACCGTGAGGCAGCTAGTTTCCATGTATGCCTATTTTGCTACCTGGTTATCTAGTTTCAATTGTTTGTCAGAGAAGTTCTCATAAAATAGCTGCTGTTTAAGCTGAAAGTGAAGGATGAGAAGGAGTCCATCTGTGAGAAGGTCTGAGGAGAGTTTCCAGGCAGGAAGGGGGACTAGTGCAGAGACCCGGAGGCACAAACGCATTCGGAACACTGAGGCAAGGGGAAAGGCCAGTTCGCTGGTGTGCATTCATGAATGGGAGCATGACTCGGAGGAATGGGCAGAGGATCAGATCATTTAGGGCAGTGTTTTTCAGCCCATGCTGTACGTAAGTAAACATTTGGTGGGTATGACATAGAGATTCAGACGTAACAGGTTCAGGATAGAGCCTAAGTAAGACTAATTTTTTAAAAAAGATTTATTGACTTACTTGAAAGGCAAATTACAGAGAGGCAGAGGCGGAGAGGGGGAGAGAGGTCTTCCATCCCCTGGTTCACTCCCCAAATGGCCATAATAGCTAGAGCTGAGCCGATCTTAAGCCAGGAGCCAGAAGCTTCCTCCGGATCTCCCGTGTGGGTGCAGGGGCCCAAGGACTTGGGCCGTCCTCCTTTGCTTTCCCAGGCACATTATCAGGGAGCTGGATAGGAAGTGGAGCACCCATACGTGATGCCGGCACTGCAGGCAGTGGCTTTACCCGCTATGCCACAGCACCAGCCCCAGTATGAATAATTTTTAAACTCCAAGGAAGATTCTGATATGTGATGAGGGTTGTGAGCCATTGAGGTAGGACAGTTAAGACCAAGAAAAGGAATTTGGATTTTTAACCTAAGTGTAATGAGAAGAAATTGGAGGAATATTCGGTTTGTATTTTGAAATAATCACTTGGGCTGCTTTGTGGAGGATGAATTAAGGGGGCAAAGAGGATGGGAGGTTAAAACTCAGATAAAGACTTTCTAGCCTAGTGATTAATGATTAAGACTCAGGTTAAGGCACCCACGTATCACTTCAGAGTACCTGGATTTGAATCCTGGCTCAGGCTCCTGACTCCAGTTTCCTGCCTATGCAGACCCTGGGAGGGTCTTCTGTAATAGGGTTTCTGCCATCCATGTAAGAGATCTGAATGGGTTCCCTGGCTCCTGGTGTTGTCCTGGGCCATTGCGGGCATCTGGGGAGTGAATGAGAAGATGGGAGCACTCTTTCAGATAAATAAATAAAAAATAAAGAAGCTGGTAGGAAATAATAAGGCAGCTATGTTGGTAGAAGAGATGAGTGGCATGGATGAGGGTAGCAGGAGTTGAGGCAGAAAGAAGTAGACAGATGATAGAATTTACTACTGAGAGTTGGGAAATGATCAATTAGGAACAACAGTCATTGTTAAATTTACTGTGTGGCAATTTACTTAAAATTTACAGTCTAAATGCTTTACTTATTTTAAGGCATAGGATTCCAACGCTAATTTGCCCATGACAGAGTTGTATGTGTATTTTAACCTAATTGATTCCAGAGCATATGCTCTTAACCATCCTATGTCATTGAGTCTCGGGCTGCAGGTTTGAAGGACTGAATGGGTGGTGTTGGCATTTCCTTGAGGGAAAGGAATACCTTGGGGAGGGAGGGACGGCCTTGGGAGTGAGGAGGAATTGGTTCTCCTTTGGTCGAGTTAGGTTTCAGATGCTTGGGATACATGCAAGAGAGATGTTAAGTGGACTCTGAAGCTCAAAGAAGTGAGAAATACTTGAGAGTTGTTGAAATAGAGCTGATATTTTAAGTTATAAGATTGGAAGTAATTATCTTGGGGTAGAAAGTGGATATAAGCAAGAGCAGTGGTCCAAGGACCAAGCTCCAGGGGTAGGAGAAGACTAGGAAGGAAAGTCCAATCAGATAGGAAAAAAAGCACAGAAAAGTATGTGGTGTGACAGGGCTAGAAAGAAAAAGGTATTTCAAGGAGAGAGTTGTCATTTGGGTTGGGTATGTTCTTTAAAAGTCTAAAATGATGAGGGCTTGAGTAACACACATATCACTGGTGATCTTGACAAGAATTGTTTGAGTGGAGTGGTGGCGAGACAAGATTGAATGGAGTGGGTTGAGAAGAGAGAGACTAGAGTGATGATAAGCAACTCTTTAGGTTTTTCTGTTAAGGGAGGAGCAGAGGATGAGGAAGTAGGTGGAAGGTATGTTTTCTTTGTGTACCTGGAGCCCCTCTGTAAGCTACTTGGGATAATTTAAATTTAGTGTTTGTTAAAAAGAATAGCAGTAAAGGTGATTAAAATTATTGCCTTTCTTGGATAATGGAAAACATTAACTTTCCATCTTAAACTCCAAGTTTATATATAAAATAATATTTCTCTTAAAGATTTCTTTATAAAATTAAAATGCAATTAATTCTAACCAAACATTGAATATTTACTGGATTGAAATATGGAAATAAATTTTTGTGTCTTTACTTTATTGAAAATACCCTTTTATTTGAATGCCACATTCCAGATCAAAAATTTTTCCTTAAAACTTCTATTTTGGGGGATCAGCATTGTGGAGGAGCAGGCTAAGTCACTGCCTGCATTGATGGCAGTGGGCACTAGTTCCAGTCCCTCTGCTCCACTTCCAATCTAGCTCCCTGCTAATGCACCTGGGAAAACAGAAGGTGGCCCAAGTACTTGGGCTCTGCCACCCACCTGGGAGACTCCAGTGAAGCTCCTGGCTCCTGGGTTTGTCCTGGCCTGGCCCTGGCTGTTGTGGCCATTTGGGGAGTGAACTAGTGCATAGAAGATCTCTCTTACGTACATGTCCCCCTCTCTCTCTGTAAATCTGCCTTTCAAGTAAATAAATCTTTAAGGAGAAAAGATACTGAAAAAAATCTTTTTAAAAATATTTAAGAGGGTGGTGCTGTGGTGCAGCAGATTGAGTTGCCACCTACAGCACCAGCATCCCATGTGGGCACCAGTTTGGGTCCCGGCTGCTCTGCTTCCAGTCCAGCTCCCTGCTTATGTGCCTGGGAGAGAAAGGAAAGATAGTACAAGTCTTTGAGCCCCTGTCACCCTCATGGGAGACTGGAGGAAGCTCCTGGCTCCTGGCTTTGTCTTGGCTTGGCCTCGCCTCGGCTGTTGCAGCCATTTGGGGAATGGGCCAATCTCTGTTACTCTCCTTCTCCCTCTGTAACTCTAATGTTCAAATAAATAAATAATACAGGTTGCTCCTTTTAAAAAAAAAGTAATGTGATAAAATACATATCATAACATTTACTGTTTTAACCTTTTTTTAAAATTATTTATTCTATTTATTTGAAAGACAGAACTACAGAGAGAGGTAGAGAAGGAGATAGAGAGAGGTCTTTCATCTGCTCCCTCACTTCCTAAATGGTAGCAATGGCTGGCCAGAGCTAAGCTGACCTGAAGCCAGGAGCCAGGAGATTCTTATGGGTCTCTCCTGTGGGTGCAGGAGTCCAAAGACTTGGGACATCCTCTGCTGCTTTCCCAGACACGTTAGCAGGGAGCTGGATCAGAAGTAGAGCAGCCGACACTTGAACCTGGAGCCCAGGGTTTTTTTTTTTTTTTTTTTTTTTTTTTTTTTTTTTTTTTGACAAGCAGAGTTAGTGAGAGAGAGAGACAGAGAGAAAGGTCTTCTTCCATTGGTTCACCCCTCAAATGGCTGCTACGGCCAGCGCTGCGCCGATCCGAAGCCAGGAGCCAGGTGCTTCTCCTGGTCTCCCATGCGGGTGCAGGGCCCAAGCACCTGGGCCATCCTCCACTGTCCTCCCGGGCCACAGCAGAGAGCTGACTGGAAGAGGAGCAATCGGGACAGAATCTGGCGCCCCAACCGGGACTAGAACCTGGTGTGCCGGCGCCGCAAGGCGGAGGATTAGCCAAGTGAGCCGCAGTGTCGGCCCTAACATTTTTTTTTTTTTAAAGATTTATTTATTAAAAAAACAGAGTGACAGAGTGCTTTCTGTTTGTTCATTCCCCAGATGCCCGTGATGGCCAGGGCTGGGCCAGGCACAGGAACTCCGTCCTGGTCTCCCTCATGGGTGGCAGGGACTCAGCTACTTGAGCTGTCGTATGCTGCTTTCCCAGGTTTGTTATCAGCAAGCTGGATTGGAAGCAGAGCAGCACTCTGATACGAGATACCGATGCTGTAAGCATGGGTTAACCTGCAGAGCCACAGTGCTGGTCTCTATTTTAACCATTTTAAAATGTGTGGTTCAGTGGCATTAAGTTGTGCACACAGTACCCCCATTCATCTCCAGATCGATGATTGTTAGCTCACTTTACAATATGGACATTTTCTCCAACAGTTTTCCTCCTGGTGGAAACAGTGGGCTGAGGATTCTCAGTCTGAGTTTCAAAGTAATGTTCATTGATGAAAGGTAACATTGTGAACATCACAAAACTGGTTATTGGATTCTGGAAGCAGCACACACAAGGTTGTAGGATGAGTACAGAGAGTGGTAAAGTGAACTCAGGTGCCTTGTAAATGAAAATCAAACTCACCAGCAAAAATCTTAGTGCTGCTTGAAAATCTAAAACAAGAATTAGTGAAGAAAACTACCAAAGACTTAAAAGAAATAAGCTGCCGATATTAACACCTTAAAAACTAGAATTGTTAGGGGCCGGCACTGTGGCACAGTAGGTTAATCCTCCACCTGCAGTGCCGGCATCCCATATGGGTGCCGGTTCTAGTCCTGGCTGCTCCTCTTCTAATCCAGCTCTCTGCTATGGCCTGGGAAAGCAGTAGAAGATGGCCCAAGTCCTTGGGCCCCTGCACCCATGTGGGAGACTGGGAAGAAGCTCCTGGCTTCAGATTAGCACAGTTCCGTTGCGCTATTGGGGAGTGAACCAACAGACAGAAGACCTTTCTCTCTTTCTCCCTCTCACTGTCTGTAACTCTACCTCTCAAATAAATAAATAAAAATCTTAAAAAAAAATAAACTATAACTGTTAAGAGCCCAAATAGACAAAAAATTTAGAAACTACAATGAGAGTGTTTTCAGAATCTGGGTAAAAAAGTGAAAAAGTATAGGACTAAATATAAGTTTCTCTATGAACATGCATTTCTCAAATCAGAAATTTGGATACCAGGAAGAATTTGCATATACTTTAGAAGAGTGAAAATATTAATTAAAAGAAAATATTAATTAGAAGATTAAAATATTGATCACAGATTGCAAGACTGGAGAAAGATGAACTACATAGGCTGCTGCTTTGTGTTGATTGCACAAGACAAGTGACAAGACAGCAAACAAGTGAAGCAACTTGTTAGAGAAAAACTTCATATGTTTCTGAAATTAAGATATTCAGATGTAGCAGAATTAAGGGCTAAAAAAGAATTATGGAGCTCAGACAGAAAATGTCCAAAGAATGCAAGTGTGGCAGTTGGCTGTGCTTAGGCTACAGTCAGTTCTGCAGAAGCTGTAAAAGTCAAATGCTTGATGGCCTGCGCCGCAGCTCACTAGGCTAATCCTCCACCTTGCGGCGCCGGCACACCGGGTTCTAGTCCCGGTCTGGGCGCTGGATTCTGTCCCGGTTGCCCCTCTTCCAGGCCAGCTCTCTGCTGTGGCCCGGGAGGACAGTGGAGGATGGCCCAGGTGCTTGGGCCCTGCACCCCATGGGAGACCAGGAGAAGCACCTGGCTCCTGGCTTTGGATCAGCGCGGTGCGTCGGCTGCAGCGCGCCAGCCATGGTGGCCATTGGAGGGTGAACCAACGGGAAAAGGAAGACTCTCTCTCTCTCTCTCTCTCTCTCTCACTGTCCACTCTGCCTGTCAAAAATTAAAAAAAAAAAAAAAAGTCAAATGCTTGGAAAAGGGGCTGTAATCAAGCAATGAACAAAATCTCTTAATTAGTGAATTGCATAAATCTGAATAAGAAAGACATACATTGACAAGTAAAAGAATTTGAACATTCAAGCAAACTAGAATTAACAGACATCAAACTGGAGGCAGCAAAACCTGAGTGAGCTAGAAAAAGAAATAACTTTCAATGTGAACTGGTGGCTTAGACAATGAGGTTCTCAAATTAGCTGTTGAACACTACGAAGTGCTTAGTAGAAAAGGACTGTGAATCGGCCGGCGCCGCGGCTCAATAGGCTAATCCTCCGCCTAGTGGCGCCGGCACACCAGGTTCTAGTCCCGGTCTGGGCGCCGGATTCTGTTCCGGTTGCCCCTCTTCCAGGCCAGCCCTCTGCTGTGGCCCGGGAGTGCAGTGGAGGATGGCCCAAGTGCTTGGGCCCTGCACCCCATGGGAGACCAGGAAAAGCACCTGGCTCCTGGCTCCTGCCATCGGATCAACGCGGTGCGCCAGCCGCGGCGGCCATTGAAGGGTGAACCAATGGCAAAGGAAGACCTTTCTCTCTGTCTCTCTCTCTCACTGTCCACTCTGCCTGTCAAAAAAAAAAGAAAGAAAGAAAAGGACTGTGAATTAATATGTAACGTACACGCTTCAAGGAAGATGATTACAAAAAGGTTGTGATACAAGTTGAAAAGCTGGAATTTCAGAGTTGCAGATTTAGAAGAAATAAAAATGGAACATGATGTTTGGAAGCAGCTGAAAGGATCATGGGGAGAGAAGTTGTGTGCTTCACAAGTGACAGAAGAATTGGACAGAAGAGAACTTCAGGAGGTTAGGTTAAAACATCAGCGAATTGTGAATTTTGAAAATGTAGAGAAAAAAATTGTGGTCTGAAACAGCAAATCAGCAGTTTGCAGATCTTTCATGGTCAGAGAATGACTTGTTGGATTTAAGCCAAATGCTGAATAGTGGAGAGGTTAAAATAGGAATGCCAAAATTTAAGAAGCCAACCTGAAATAGCACAGCTAAAAGTTGAGAATGCATTAGGGACAGGCGCTGTGGTTTGGTGGGTAAAGCTGCTGCCTGCAGTGCTGGCATCCCATGTGGGCATCAGTTCGAGTCCCAGCTGCTCCACTTCCAATCCAGCTCTCTGCTATAACCTGGGAAACCAGTAGAAGGTGGCCCAAGTGTTTGGGCCCCTGTACCCCCATGGGAAACCCGGAAGAAGCTCCTGGCTCCTGGCTTCTGGCTTTGGATCGGTGCAGCTCCAGCTGTTGTAGCCATCTGGGGAGTGAAACCAGTGAATGGAAGAACTCGCTCTCTTCCCTCTCTCTCTCTCTGTCTCTGTGTAACTCTGACTTTCAAATAAGTAAATAAATCTTTTTAAAAAAAAGGAAAGAAAATGCATTAGAAGAGGAACAGAAATGGTAATTGGAAGAAAAGCAGAGGCTTCATGAATGTATCACACCGAAGAACCAAACATTCAAACTAAAGATTGAAAATGCAGTGAGCTGCATTTCCCAGAGAAATAAACTCTCTCTATAAAAACAAATTGAGGGGCTAGCACTGTGGTGTAGCAGGTAAGGCTACCGCCTGCAGTGCTGGCATCCCATGTGGGCGCTGGTTCGAGACCCAGCTGCTCCACTTCTGATCCAGCTCTCTGCTGTGGCCTGGGAAAGTCCTTGGGCCCCTGAACCCCTGTGGGAAGACCTGGAAGAGGCTCCTGGCTTTGGATCAGTGCAGCTGTAGCTGTTGCAGTCATCTGGGGAGTGGACCAGCGGGTGAAGGACCTCTCTCCTTCTCCCTCCCTCCCTCCCTCCCTCTCTCTCTCTCTCTCTCTCTCTCTCTCCCTCCCTCCCTCCCTCCCTCCCTCTCTCCCTCTCTCCCTCTCTCCCTCTCTCCCTCTCTCCCTCTCTTCTTCTCCCTCTCTCCCTCTCTCTGCCTCTCTGCCTGTCCTTCTCTGTGTAAGTCTGACTTTCAAGTAAATAAATAAATCTAAAAAAAAAAAAAAACACATTGAAAAGATTGCAGGAGAAAGTAAAAGTCTTATAGGCAAATAGAGAAGAATTGGTGAACAGAAATCAGATGTTAAGCAGGCAAAATGTCCCGTTTAATGTGTAAACAAAGCTTCCAAAAAGATGGATATACAGAGAAGACAAAATGAATTTTGAAGTTTAATTTTGATTCTTAACATTCCTCCAATATCAATCCCACTAGCTTTCAGTCATCTACCATGGAACTGTCCCTGCTCCACGGAGGAGGAGTGGCATCAAAGGGAACTGTCTCTATTTGACAGACTAGTGGAAGAACTAAAAACAACACAAAGAAAACAACTTGAGATTTCCTGGGGAGTGATGTTCTTGGAGAAAAGGCAGTTCATACAAGTGAAATCGTGTGGTATTTACATACATACTTTCTTACTGTTAGCCAAGACTTGGATGCGCCTCAAGAAAAGGTACCAGCTGCAGGCAGCATTGCCTGAGTGTTAGGATTTTGGGATTGTAGTAGTGGCAAGTGGGCATTAAAGGAAACAGTTTTAGAGATACTTAGAATATTTTCTACCAGCTTTTTGAGAAGGTAAAAAAATAATGAAAGGGACTAATTATGGAGGAAAAAAGAGTTACTGAACGACTGGGTGGTAATGGGAGGGACTAATCCCTGTGATTGTAATTTCAGGTGCCTGTGGCATTTGATGATGTCTCCATCTACTTTTCCACTCCAGAGTGGGAAAAATTAGAAGAATGGCAGAAGGAACTTTACAAGAATATCATGAAGGGCAACTACGAGTCTCTCATCTCCATGGGTGAGGCTGAGTTGGCACCCTTTGAATGAAGTGACAGCAACTCCAAGAGGGCTCCACACAGTCCCTTCTCCTCGCTCTCTGTCCTCACATACTTCTGATTCTGGTTCAGACCAAAGCTGACCCTTTCACAGTTGCCAGATAGGAAATAATTACCTCTGCCTTTGCCAGATCACAGGACAGAGAATGAAGTCCAGTGTGCCCCGTGGTGGCTTTCATGGGTTAACCTTCACCTTTGAATAGAGTTTACTGCTTCCCCACGGGGCACCCTGCGTTTTCAATGAAAGGAACAAGTGAGTAGTGCCAGCAGCACCTGGACTTTTCCCACACATTACGTCTTTTTTCTCCTTTCCTGAGTTGATATCAACCGTGGTGGGAGGTGGGCAGATGGGCGAAGTGTTGTGGAATCTTAAAAAAACTTTCCTGGCACCGTGAGCCTCAAAGATTGAGCTAAGCTTTGATGACCATTAGTTTGTCAAACTCATTTATCTCTTTGTCAACCCCACTATCCCTTTTGCTTCTCCTAGATTATGCCATGAATCAGCCTGATGTCTTATCTCAGATTCAACCAGAGGGAGAGCATCATACAGAGGATCAGGCAGGGCCAGAGGAAAGTGAGATTCCTGCAGACCCCAGCGAAGGTAAGTGGAGACTAGATGCACCGTGTGTCTCCCTTTTCTGGCAGGAAAGGGACTAAGTAAGCAAGACATTCAGTACTAAATCCACTAGATTCTGAATGGTTCATCAAGCATTTAAATATAAAAAGGAGTGAGGGATCATCTTGTTAAATGCTTTCACTATATCAATAGCACACATCTAAGGTTACTAAGGGGCTAGTGTTGTGGCATCACTTGGGAAGCCTGCATCCCCTGTCAGAGTGCTAACTTGAATCCCGGCTCCTCTGCTCTGATCCTGCTAATATGCCTGGGAAGGCAGTGGACCATGGCCCAGGTATTTGGGCTCCTGCCACTCACATGGTAGACTGAGATATAGTTCCTGGCTCCTAGCTTCAGTTTGGCCCAGCCCTGGCTGTTGCAAGCATTTGAGGAGTAACCCAGGAGATGGAAGATCTCTCATATCTCCCTGTCTCTCTGTCGCTCTGCATTTCAAGTAAATGTTGTGAAAAAGGTTGTTAATTACATTCTCTGACAGAGGTATTAGCTATTTGGTAAAATAAACATGTTTTTTAAAAGGACATAGTCATGCTCATCTGGAGTGCAGTGGCATGAGATAAATGTATACACGGCCCCTCCAAAGTACAAAAGGGACTGTGAGTCTATGTGATTCCCCCACTGTGCATTTGACTAGTGGCAACTGGCTTTTGTCAGGTCTGGAGGACAAGCTTAATATTGTGTGGGAAAGACTGCTAGCTAAAATCTAGTTGTACTGTTTCTCTCACATTCTGCTGTTGCTGTTATTAAAAAATTCTTAGACTTTTTTTTTTCTGGATAGAAACTTACAAAAATTTCATCCTTCAGACATCTTATAACTCACCCCATCCTATGTACTTTAATTTTTTCTAGCATTTTATTATGAAAAATTTCAATCAGAAAAGTTGAAATAATTTTTTTTAAAGATTTATTTGTTTGTTTGAAGGACAGAATTACAGAAAAGCAGAAAGAGGGAGGGAGAGGTCTTCCATCCACTGGTTCACTCCCCAGATGGCTGCAACAGCTAGAGCTGGGCTGATCTGAAACCAGGAGCCAGGAGCATCTTCTGGGTCTCCCAAATGGGTGCAGAGGGCCCAACGACTTGGACCATCTTCTGCTGCTTTTCCAGGCCATAGCAGAGAGCTGAATTGGAAGTGATGCAGCCTGGACTCAAACTGGTACCCATATGGGATGCCAGCACTACAGGCAGTGGCTTTACCCGTTACATCACAGCACCAGCCCCAAATTTGAAATAACTTTACAGTGAATACCTATATATCTAGCACTTAGATTCTACTGCTAACATTTTACCATCCTTACTGTGCATATATCCATCTCTGCATCCATCCATCCATCTATCCATCCATTTTATTGCCAGTGCATTTTAAACTCAGTAGAGGGGCTGGCATTGGGGTTTAGAGGGTTAAGCTGTTGCCTGCAGCACCAGCATTCCATATTGGCACCATGTCTCGGCTGTCCCAATTCAAATCCAGCTGACTACCAATGGCCTGGGAAAAGCAATAGATGACCGAAATGCTTGGGCCCCTGCCACCCATGTGGAACACCTAGATGAAGCGCCTGGCTTTGGCCTGGCTCAGTGCTAGCCATTGCAGCCATCTAGGAAGGGTACCAGTGAATGAGAGATCTCTCTCTCTCTCTCTCCCTCTCTCTCTGTAACTCAGACTTTAAATATAAATAAATAAATAACAATCTTTAAAAAAGGGCCAGCATTGTAACGGAGCAGGTAAAGCTGCTGCCTGTAACACAAGCATCCCATGTGGCACCGGTTCAAGTCCCAGCTGCTCTATTTTTGATCCAGCTCCCTACTAATGTGCCTGAGAAAGTAGTGGGGGTGCCCCGTGTGCTTGGGCTCCTGCACCCATGTGGGACACCCAGAGGAAGCTCTTGGCTTCTGGTTTCATCTTGGCCCAGTGCTGGCCATTGCAGCTATTTGGAGAGTGAATCAGCAGATGGAAGACCTCTGTCTGCCCCTGCCTCTCTGTAACTTTGCCTTTCAAATAAATAAATCTTTTAAAGTAAAATAAAATCAGTAGACATCAGTACATTCCCCTTTAAATAGTTCAGCATAAATGTCATTAACTTAGAGTCCTTATTTGTTTTTCTTTTAAGATAAATTTTACATGTAATGAAATGTTCAAATCTTTTTTTTACTTTTTTTAAGATTTATTTATTTATTTAAAAGAGTTACAAAGAGCAAATGAGAGACAGAAGGATCTCTGACCTACTGGTTTCACGCTCCAAATGGCCACAGTGGTCAGAGCTGGGCTGATCGGAAGCCAGGAACCAGGAGTTTTTTTCTGGGGTTCCCATGTGGGTGTGGGGGCCCAAGCTCTTGGACCATTCTCTGCTACTTTCCCAGGCACATTAACAAGGAGCTGGATTGGAAATGGAGCAGCCGGTATTCAAACCAGTACCCATAAGGAATGCTGGCGTCCCAGGTGGCAGCTTTACCTGCTACACCACAACACCTGCCCCCAATATATATTTTTATTTTTAAGATTTATTTACAGGGCCAGTGCTGTGGCATAGTAGGTTAAGCGTCCATCTGTGGTGCTGGCATCCCATTTGCACACTGGTTCTTGTCCTTGTTGCTCCTCTTCCAATCCAGCTCTCTGCTAATAGTTTGGGAAGGCAGTGGAAAGTGGCCTAAATCCTTGGATCCCTGTACCCAGGTGGGAGACCTGGAAGAAACTCCTGACTCCTGGCTTCAGAATGACACAGCTCTGACCATTGTGGCCATTTGGGGAGTGAACCAGTGGATGGAAGATCTATCTATCTCTATCTCTCCTTCTCTCTGCCTCTCAAATAAAATAAATCTTAAGAAAAGGAGACTATTTATTTGAAAGGCAGAGTTATGGAGAGACAGAGAGACTCAGAGAGAGGTCTTGCATCCACTGGTTCACTCCCCAGAGGGCCACAATGGCCAGTGCTACATCAAATAAAAAGCCAAGAGTTTTATCTGGTCTCCCACATGGGTAGCAGAGACCCAAACACAGGCCATCCTCCACTGCTTTCCCCAGGCCATTAGCCAGGAATGGCAAAGGGAGCTCCTAAGACATAAACCAGCTCCCATATGGGATGCTGGCGTCGTAGGCCGTGGCTTTACCTGCTGCAGCACAACACCAGCCTGAAATGTTAAAATATAAAGTGTACATTCTTGAGTTTTAATCAATGCATATATCTGCCATACATTATATTATTAAGAATGTTTGATTATTTTAGGCAATGCAACAGGTTGAATATAATTAATATCTATATTAAGGATATATGTAATAGAGTTAAAATAATAATACCAGTAAGGATGGGTGATTTGATTGCAGAAAGAATCCTTATTGGAAATACCTTTTTGGTTTACATTATTGGTGTTTTCATTTTTGGCGATGGATAAAAAAGAAATAATTTGCTTTTGTAAGCATGTATCAGAGTTTCATTTAGCTACCATCTTGTTTATTTTTACCTTGGTTTTTTGAATTCCATTTTAAGTCAACCTATATACTTTATTTTTACTGAAAATTAAGTGTTGAATTTATCTAATACTCTGATTTTGTTCTTTACAGCCTTAGTGTACATTAGTAATTATCAACCTAAATGTTTGCTGGAACTTGAGGATTCATATAACTTGGGCTAGTTAATTTATAGCATTTAAAACAACAACAACAAAATTGTATCTTTGTATTTCCCCTTTAAGGTTTGATTATATATTCACTTATTTCAATTTTCTTTTGGTTGCGCACATTGTCAACTTGGAAAGTGAGAAGACTTTAAACTGGCCTTTGCCCCCTTCCAATATGGTCTCAATAGTGTACTTATTGTCTTTAAGAACATGTGTTCCTGGGTCTGTTGGGGGTCACCAAGACCTCTGTTGGGTTTGTTGATTTGCTAGGAGGATTCACAGGATTAAGCAGATGGTCTATTAATGGCTAAGATTTCTTACAGCAAAATCATACAAAGGAATATTAGCAAAGAGAAAAGGCACATGGCGGGAAGTCTGGAAGGAATCAGATCAATCAGAACTTCCCAGAGTCCTTTCCAAAGAGTCTCACAGGACACAGTTAATTCTTTCAGCGATGAGTTGTGACAACACCTACAAAATATTGTCTACTAGAAAAGCTTGCTAAAGATTCAGTGCCTGAGTTTTTTACTGGGTGCTTATTACAAGCACCTCCTGCCTAGCACATACCCAAATTCCAGGCTGCCAGAAGGAGCGTGTAAACCTACTACCTGACAAATAGTTTAGGCATAGTGAGCCGCCTTATCATTTAGAGAAAAGTTTATGTCAGTGTAGGGAAGAGTTTGCCAGCCAAGGGCTAATCCTGTAAGCAGATTTCAGGATAGGCAGTCTGAAGCCTGTTTTTAATTTTCCTCCCAACACTTTAAGGGATCCTGGTTCCTTTCAGTGGAAAATAGTGTTTAGTCATTATCTGATCATTAAGGTGTGTAAAGCTTGTTCAGCACAAGTTCTAGGTGGGGGACACTAATGCAAGGCCAACTTAAATGTTTTAAAATATCATGTAATTTGTTAGACCAGTGTGTTTATTTTGGAATATTGGTACACTTTGTAACTTTCTAAACTATACCTGGATTTTGTCCATATTTCCTATGAAATAAAATCAATAATATATTATTGTATTATTTCATTTAGAACTTTAGGGAGAATTAATTGTGCATTTTAATTGAGAACATAGAATGGGAGCAAGCTGGTAGCTGAGTAAGATTCTCCACTACTCATCTCCCCATAGAGACATCAATTTGAACAGCTATTCACATGCCAAACTACCTTTACAAGAGCTGGGAAAGCCAAGTGAGAGACCACTGTGGCTGGTTTAGTATAATAATAATCAAAGATGCATTGAAGAAAGCAGGAAGGAAAGAGTTCCTGTATCACCCATGCGCCAGCTCCAGACAACATGGAGTATAGAGATGCTTTCTTCTTGAGTGAGGAAGAGGGAATTAAGTCCAGGCCTTCCAAC